TTGGCATAGAGGCCTGAATTATTCCTGCACATGGTTTCTGCTATTTAGTCACTCCTTCAGTTTTACATTACAATTCACTGAAACCAAGGGCTATAGAAACATAGCTACTGCTACAGGGACACAGTGGATCCTTCAGGATCAGATCTGCTGCACCATAGATAATCAGACTTTACCCAGGTGTCATTGGGCTTGGTGTTGAGGGGCAGTTGTTGGCCATGGCGTTTGATCAGCGTGGTCCCACAGCACCGGCAGCAGTAGTCCAACAACATGAATGGCCAGCGATTCTTTGATCGGCGCTCTCGCAGGTAGCATAAGACTGAATCAGTGCATCTGTCATGGCTGCTCTTAATAAGATTAGCAACGCTTCCGTAAATCTGGGCAGGACAAAGCCCACCTCCAGGCCCGGGCTGCACTAACGAATTACCCACACACACTAAAAATACTCCTGGTTAAGTAAGGCTGTGCTAGAATACCTCACATTAGCCTCCCGCTAGCACAGTTGGCTGTAAGGGCATTTGTTTCAAGATTGGTTTCTGTTCTATAGCACTTCTAACATTTTAGAAATGGTTTAGATTTCAGATTAATAACACTGTGCACCAACTGCAACACATGGGTAAGACCATGCACACAATTTAGGCCTGTACTTGTTTGAAATCATATGTGGGTCATTCCTGTTAGGAAGCATCTTTTGGATATTTTTTTTAAAACAAAAATAAACATGCTTGTGTTGAAATTGAAGGAATAATTCCTACGGCAAAAATGGCAACGTCCACTCAAACCAGTTCTACCAAATGTATTTTCCATTCACCCCTATGTTTACTTAATTGTGATACTGTGATTAAAAACTTTAAACTATTAACAAATGCATAAATGAACGAAAAATTGCAATTTTGTCCAAATTCAAAAGAAAGCCAAAAGCATTCTTCTAATGAACAGGTTTGGCTCTTCCAGTGAAGAACATTCTCAATGCTACACATACAGTGAGATTCTATGTCAGCGGTTCTCAAGTCCAGTCCTGGCGACCCCCAGCTCTGTATATTTTACATGTGTCTCTTATTTAACACTGATTCCGATCATCAGCTCGTTAGAAGAGAGCTCCACGCATGAACTGTGTTCCCACTGACATGATCCCTACACAGTGTTCACTGCTCCCTACTCCTGAGCACAGGACATCTGTTGAACTTTACTTCACTTCAGAACATTCATTCATGGATTTGCGCTACGCCACGGCCTGCAGCGTCTTCACACACAGATGAAACTTACTAGAGAAGTGTGAAGTGTGACATAATATACCTCTGTAAATAAATACAGCTGAAATTCACGTCTCACACACTTTAATGCCCTTTGAATGAACATACACTCCCTTCAAACTGGAGTCATGGCTGATGTCCCGTGATGTTCACTTCGCAGGGCACTTACGGTCGAATAGAACAAACATCTGAAGTGATAAGAGACACATACAAAATGTGCAGAGCGGGGTGACGAGAGGACTGGAATTGAAAACCACTGCCCTCGAGATATTTAAAGATTAGTTGACCAGCTTCAAGTGATCAGTATACGAGCATAAGTGTGTGTTTGTGTGTGTGTGTGAGTGTTTTGTCTGTGTGTGTGTGTGTGTGCGTAAATGTAATAGAAGAATTGAATATGCAGAGGTACACTAACTGCAGACAGGTCTGGCGCTAAACCTGATACAAGAACTTGGAATTGCAGAAACGTATATATTAAGGGCTCACCTCTGCCTTTGAACTCAATTTGCAACCTAAATTCTTTATGTTAGCATGACGCTGAGTCCTTGCAAGTGGCTAAATTAAAACTATAATCAAAACCACCTACTGCAGGCATGCAACTCCAAACTGCACTGATTACATGAGCAGCGATGGCAGTCGTTTTAATAAATGTGTACATCTGTAATCTAAACAGGCCTGACAAACAACTAAGTTTCAGCTTGATTAGATAAAGTGCAAATAATGACTAGTTAAAGCCTGCATTACACTCCTAGTCAGAGTGCACTAATAAATAACGCTTGTGGCACAAATTGCATAATAAAAAAATAAATAAATACAGCTCTACTGCTTGGTTGGCTAACCAAATACCATGTTTTATGATTGTTTGTCATTCAGTGTTTTATCCAAAGAAATCAGATGAATTCTACTCTGTCAGCACCTGTTGTGACTGTTTAAGTCTATGAGGTGCATTCATTTACACAAGCAAAGTGCATTGAACAGTTAAACAGGCTTTCAAGAGACAAAGGCTCACAGAAACCCACTCACGTTAAGCCTGAACTTAGTATAGTAGGCTATAATTCAGTGCGTTTTAGTTTAATAGTATCTAGTGTTGTTCTAAACAGCTTAGTTTAGTGTGTTATTATGTAGCGGTAGCCTGCTACAACTGAAAAGCGGTGCATGACACAGTGTTGCGTTGCGCTAAATCCGACCATTTCTGTATGGTTCAGGGTTATTTTGTTGCTCTGTGCAGCACAGTTCAGAGTCGTTTTCACAGATAGGCTCGACTACACGACCGGAGCAGTGCTGTTAGCCTTCACAGCGTTTGTGTGCGTCAGCTTTCTCCAATAAAACCACCGTCAGCACTCGGGAGTTTGGTCGTTTGTATTTACTGAGACGTTTCTGTACATTTTGGAAGCATGGGTTGCACGCAGGAATTTATTTTTAGCAACAAAACAGCAATGGCGAATGTTTTGCGCCGTCCGACCACGTCGCCGCGCGTTAAAAGAGCCGCAGGCGGCGCGGTGAGCGTCAGCGACATCGTTTTGATCCGTCGGAATTGTTTCAGCGCAAAACTTTCGATATTGTCATGATGGGCGAGTGTGAAGCGCGACGGCTGTGCGCATGCGCTCTGGAGTCCGCCTGGCCAATTTCTCAGTACTCGTGGGAGAATTTGGGTAAGAAACAGACAAATTAAAACAATCGCACGCTAGAATAAACTGCTTGTGTAGCATTTTATACTCTTTAATAAACCTTTATGCGCCGTCTCAGACTTTCGCGGGAGGTGTAATGCTTAGGAATAATAATGAAAGTTAGATTTAAAGTAGAAAACGTCTGGACGTGTCATCAATAATATGAGCAGCAGGAAGAGAGTATGCAATAAAGAATAACGCGAATGAATGACACTCAGAATAGACGCAGTCGACAGAAAGGATCAAAGTGTGCATGTGCGGCTGATGGCAGGAATAAAGCATAGGTTTATCTGTGTCTGTGTACAATAATGCAGAGCAGCAGTGCATTCGCTCCTGTGTGCTGGAAACAGCAGGAACTGCTCGTGCCAAACAAAACATGTCTCGCGCGGTCGGCTCAATCATGCACTTTAAATGTCATTGATCAGCAATAATGCCGCGATTCGCCAGGCCTGTGTCTTTCAATTATATAGTGAATATAATTCCTGCTCCGCCATTTTGAGAAACTGCCTTTAAAACACATTAAAGAAAAGTGTTTTAATATCTGATACTGTGCCGTCTGAAATATGTCGTCGATGTTTAGGGGGAAATAATACTGCACTGTCGCCGTCGAGCCGAATCATTTCACCTCATTCAGTGGAAACTATTTAATACAATAGAGCTGCACGCAAGAAATGCGCAAAAACCTTGAAATAAACGGCAGAAAACGCGCTTCACAGAAAAACCAATGATGGGAAATTAACATGCATTTTATTTTATCATCATCACAATCGTCGCCTTTAAATTTGACCTAAATCATTAGTTTAAAAAAACTGTTATTCAAATAGATGTCAAAATATTGTACTTCACATTGAAAAGTAAAGCATGCACGGATATTTCAAATATTTGATGAGAAAATGAACTTTGTTTAATTATATCATGTATCAAATACCTATAAATACCAACTACAGCAGTGGAAATCGTTTCACGTCCAGATATGCGACTCTGCATTTAATGCGAAACCGTGATAAAATGTATCAAAACACTCGATGCGCGCACATAATCCTGTAATACGTGACAATATTGCGAGCATTTCTTTTTGATTTCATTGTTGTATAGAGGCTTGAAAGTTTCCAGCGCCGCGGATGAAGTGCGGGCAACAGCGCGCTCTGCTGGCGGATCCGGGAATGACTCACATGCGCTAGGCCTCGTGCGGCACTAACACACACACACACACACACACAACACACACACGCACTCACACACACACACACACGCACGCACGCACTCACACACACACACACACACACACACATACACACACACACACACACACATATGCACACACACGCACACACACACACGCACACGCACACAAACACACACACACACACACAAATATGTCTGTGCCATATTTACCCCAAAAACTAAAGAAAAATAAATTTTTATGGCGATTTAGTAATCTCAAAAAAGGCTTAATTTTTTATGCAAAACAAAATTCTTTTATTATTATTATTATTTTTTTAATTTTGGGGGTGAAACGTGACCAGTGAATCCTGAGATTCAGTCGCTATGTATTGCACATACTAAAGTTGCATGCATGTTTACGTGCACACACAAACACAAAATAGCTACTAAATCAACATTTAATTTTGTTTCTCTGTAGTAAAAACACACAAAATGTGTGTTTAGATGAAGTACAAAGAGCTCAGAAGTGTTTGCTCAGTGTTGTTTGCAATGACTTTCAGTGGTATATAGTGAGTAAGGCTTGTGTGTTTGGCGGTTCTGTGGGTTATTACACGGTGTTTTTCAGATTAGCTGTGTGCGGGTGTGATGGAGTCGTCGGGCCCGAGCACAGCCGCTCCAGAGTTTGATGTGTACGGGGCGATGGACTGGAAGGACGGAGTGGGAACACTGCCTGGCAGCGAGCTCAAGGTTAGCAAAGACATATAGGCCTTTATTATGTAAACATAAGACTGTCTATGAACCTAAACATGACATTAAATCTTTATGATGTTTTAATAGTGGTCTGATGGTCATCTTGTAGGAGTGTGTAGGTTAGTTGTGTACATTCAGTGTGTGTGTGTGTGTGTGTGTGTGTGTAGATGAAGTACAAAGAGCTCAGAAGTGTTTGCTCAGTGTTGTTTGCAATGACTTTCAGTGGTATATAGTGAGTAAGGCTTGTGTGTTTGGCGGTTCTGTGGGTTATTACACGGTGTTTTTCAGATTAGCTGTGTGCGGGTGTGATGGAGTCGTCGGGCCCGAGCACAGCCGCTCCAGAGTTTGATGTGTACGGGGCGATGGACTGGAAGGACGGAGTGGGAACACTGCCTGGCAGCGAGCTCAAGGTTAGCAAAGACATATAGGCCTTTATTATGTAAACATAAGACTGTCTATGAACCTAAACATGACATTAAATCTTTATGATGTTTTAATAGTGGTCTGATGGTCATCTTGTAGGAGTGTGTAGGTTAGTTGTGTACATTCAGTGTGTGTGTGTGTGTGTGTGTGTGTGTGTGTGTTAGTTCCGGGTGAATGAGTTTGGGGTCCTGGAGGTCATAACGGACGAGATGGAGGAGGAGAGGGGCAAAAAAGCTCACGCCACCACCACGTGGAGCGTCCCCACTGCACAAGAGGGTAAACACACCACCATACGCTCGTGTTTGGGTTTATTACAGCAGATGAAGTGCTCTTAAGCCCCCACCCCGTCCCCCTGGTTACTGTTTCTAACTAGAGTTACACAACATCCCATAGGAATGAACTGGAGATTTCTGTGATTTTCAGTTATTTCACTCATAACATGGTAAAAATGACTGGATTTTATACTTGAGTGGGCTGGAATGAATCGTGAGATTGCAAAGCATTTTCATCTGCCATGTTTCCTTAATTACACAGTAACATAATTTAACAGAAGAGACTGTGAATCAGAATGGAGTCAAATGAAAAGAGAAAAGCCTCATTTTCACAGCGATTACAGCTGATCATATTAGTGCAGGTGAACAGATGCAACACATTCACTACGGTACTGAACTCTTGCATACTGTCACAATACAGTCACCTGAAATAATGTTCAGTTAAAGTAATAATACCAAAAATGAAAAGTGGTATCCTGCAAGAACTACTTCTGCCTGATTTAAACCATATAAATGAGTTTTGTTGGTATAAATCAATGTATTTTGGTTTATTCAGTGACGTTAATGTTTTGACTTGATTATAACTTGTTAACTTAGATGTTTTTAGGTTACTATTTTTTCAGTGTATAAATATGATGCTAAATTCACGTAAAAAAAACCCAACAACTTACAAGTATACTTGCAGTATAAAAACTATTAAACTAGTAGTTTACTGAGAGTACACTTCAACGTGTACTAAACAGGGATATATAAGTATATAACAAGTAAAATAGAAGTTGTGAATAAAAAAAGGTTAAGTAAGTTTTACAAGAAAATACTATGTCAGTCTTTATACTTCAAAATTTTATGTTTAATTCAGTGTTACTTGCTGTTTCTTTGTAATTATTTGTAAAATTGTAATGACAAGTTCAGAGTGCAAAATGTTTTAAAGTAATTTTTTCAGTGTATTGTTGTGATACCAAAGAAAAATCTAACACTTAAAGTACACATAAAATGACACTTTCATAAACTAAAAACCGGACCAATTTTCTTCCATTAAGTATTGAAATAGTACACTTACGTACTACTAGTATGTTAATTTTAATATAATTATTACTACATCAAGGTAATTGGAAAACATCCTTGAGCTTTTCCTAAGTTTGTTTAACAAAATGAACTAATATACTTCTTTGTTGTAAAAGTAGTGACATCGATTGACAGTGGAGCAGATGTAGGTGAGATTACTGATGTCCTACATGTTCATTTCCTACACGAGTCACTATTATAAGTGACCTGGCAAGAAGGTTTAGTGTTGAATGGCATTTGAAAACTATCCAAACACACCGATCCTCCATAGACTTACATTTGAATAGAGCACAGGCCTGTCTGATATTGCAGGTGGTGATTGGTCAGTAATGTTATCAGGTAAAGGGTCAGTCAGTCAAGAGTTACATTTTGTTATTTAAGGGTCTTGTGTTGATTTTCCTCAGCTCTCTCTAAGGAGCCGGTCTCAAAGGAGGAGACATCGTGGGCCCAGCGAGGCCTCGTGTGTGTCCGCTGTAACAGGAAGGGCTCGGTGGTGGACTTCCTGTCTGACGGGCTTCACTGCAGTGAGCGCTGTCTGCAGCAGGAGCAGCAAGAGTAAGTCCTGCACTGTACTAAACCCACTGCGGGCACAAAAAGTCAAGCATCACTGTCACTACAGCGACTTAACACTGCTTTTGTGCTCCAGGGTCACATATGTGGTGTTAGTGATGAGCTAGACAAGTGTTAAATGTGCTGTGAGTGTTTTAAGTCGTCCTGCAGCGTTTGAACGATTCCTCAGATCATGTGTGCTGTTGAGGAGAGCAGTGTTGGGGGGACCGCATTACAACTTACGTAATTAGATGACTTTTTCAAGCAACTAGTAAAGTAATGCATTACTTGTAAATTTACAATGAAATATCTGCGTTACTTTTTCAAATAAGTAATGCAAGTTACTTTATTTTCCCATTTATTGACTGACAGCTCTCCTGTCCCGTGTTGAGAGAAATCAGGAGTGAGTTTCAAAGGCTCTTTCTTCAGCCTGAAGCTTATTAATTTCACTTTTGGTGTGAAAGGGCCTTTACAGTTGCCAAAAATATAACCTTTGGGTTTTTCGTTGTTAAAGGGGTCCTATTATGCGTTTTCACTTTTTAAACTTTAGGTAGTCTGTAATGTTGCTGTTTCAGCATAAAAAAGATCTGCAAAGTTACAAAGCTCAAAGTCCACTTCAAAAGGAGATATTTTATTTAACAGAAATCACTTTTCAAAAACTACAACGAACGACTCGTTTGGACTACAACGCATATTTTCCGGGATTTGTGATATCCCGACCAGGCGCCGAGTGGTGCCAATCACAACACACACTGGCCTTGCTAACCAATCACAGCACATTTCGTATTTCAGAAGGCGGGCTTTCATTTGATACAGGAACTATTCGAGCCGTTCATGCCAGAATGGGGAGAGGGGTGTTGTAATGTAAATATGTTATGTAAATGTATAATATGTGGGAAAATAATGTGTTTTTTGAACAACCTAGTATGAGAGCCTGTTCTAGTACACCCCCAAAACAAAATCAAGACTTTGTAAAAGAGCATAATAGGACCCCTTTAAAAAACAAATAAGCAAGCCCAGCCCAGGTGACAGAAAGTAACACAAAAGTAATGTAATGCATTATTTTCCATAAAAAATAACTAAGTAACACAATTAGTTACTTTTTTTTATTGAGTAACGCAATATTGTAATGCATTACTTTTAAAAGTAACTTTCCCCAACACTGGAGGAGAGTGTGCTGCTACTGCACTGAAGTGATCAGATGCACCATTTTCACCTGCTGGACCGAAAAACAGCCGAAAAAAGAATTGTTATGCTAATTTCATCAAATGGTAATTGACACCCATTGGTAATGTTCCAGCCCAGTTTCTCTGTGTGAACATTTAACTGTTAATTTCAAATAAATGTAAATTAAAGTAACACTAAAAGTCCATTATATTTCACTAATTACACTACTCTTGCTCTAAACCAGGGGTGGGCAAACTTGGCCCTTCCAGGTCACTTTCCTTCAGAGTTTAGCTCCAACTCTAATCAAACACACCTGAACCAGCTAATCATTGTCTTCAAGACTACTAGAAAGCTACAGGCAGGTGAGTTTTATCAGGGTTGGATCAAATCTCTGCAGGAAAGTGGCCTGGAAGGGCCAAGTTTGCCCATCACTGCTCTAAACACTGTCACTTTTTTTTTATTCTGGTGATATCTGACAGTGATTAATGTGAAAGAACAGATGCTAGTGTTATTAGTGTTTCATATCCACCGTCCCTCTCACAGTGTGTGCAGGTCTCAGTCCGGGGTTTCTGAGGGGCTTAAAAAGGTCGTAAAAAGTCTCAATTTGTCCATCCACAAATGAAGGCTTTAAAAAGGTCTTAAATCAGAGCAAAAAGTCTTAAATTCATAAACAATAAATGCATTGCATGCATTGCTAAAAATGTATGACTTTTTCAGTATTTTTGATTGTTTTCCATTGCAAATATCTAAACATCTTTAAATCAAGATACATATTTGAGATGCTAAATATAAGATATTAAGTTTTGTTTTCATATCTCCCACACACACACACACACATACACACTCTCACACAGGTTTGTTTTTGTGAAAAGTGGGGACATCCCATAGGCGTAATGGTTTTTATACTGTACAGACCGTATATTCTATTGTCCTACACCAACCCTACCCCTAAACCTACCCCTTACAGGAAACTTTGTGCTATTTCAGATTTTCAATACACTCCATTCTGTGTGATTTATAAGCGTTTTGAAAAGTGGGGACATGGGGTAATGTCCTGAAAAGTCACCTTCTCCTTGTAATACCTATGTCATACCTTTGTCATTATACAAATTTATGTCCTCATTTGTCACAAAAACGCGCACACACACACACACACACACACACATTTTATATACTTTATTTGATTCCACATTACAAGACAAATTTCATTAGGAATCAAATTTTCCCATCCAGCTTTCCATTGGTCTTTCTTTTAAAAACCAGACCGCATGCGTGTGGCACCTTCCGTCTTTTAAAATCCAGCAATAATGATGCTCTGGCCATTCGCCCCATGCTGATATCATCACAGTTCAGCATATTGATAAGGTGAGACTATCTTGTGGCTATGTACTCACTCACACATGCAGTTTGGGACTCCAAGCCCCCCGTCCTGTCTTTTCTGGAAGATAAAACATCTTGTGGAATGTGTGTTGAGACAAAGCCATTTCCTAACCACGTTTACGGTTTTGTTGTCCATTTCACGCAATACTTTTTGTGGGATATGGACATTTGCAAAAAGATGTTGAATTTTAGAAAAAGCTATGTCTCTTATTGCTTGCACTTTTAGAGTAATGGAAAAAGGTGATGCGTCAATGAGATCCAGTCTGGTCATAAACTGATGTGCCATGTCAGTCACTTGCAGACTCCATTCTCCAGCAATGTTAAACTTGTGACCCAAGTAGTTGTATGTCTCATGTCTAGTATACACTCTGAGTGGCTGGTCTAAGATGGTAAAAGAGGGGGGTTGGTCGGCCCTTGATCTATACCAACGGTTGCCACCGCTCCTCCTCTCATAGAAAACTGCACATTTACTTGTAGACCAGACCATATCAGGAATCTGTCAGTGCATGACAACATGTTTTTAATCACGCCTTCATCTTGGGATGCGACGGCCACATCATCAGCATAGCCCTGGACTGGGTTCGGTGACAGGATGTGGGGCGGGGCATGTGTACAGAGCCATTTTAGCCATTGATTTATTGCAATGATAAAGTTTACAGCACTCCATGGACAGCCAGTTTTGATTCCTACCTCAAGTGGTATTGGTCTGGTGAGATCTTTTCCACAGATCACTTGCACGTAGGAGTCACAATATACATCTTTTATTATGTCTACATAGATCTTAGGGAGCTGTATCTCTTCCAATGCATCAATCATGACTCTATGAGGCAATGTGCCAAAGGCATCTCTGAAGTCTAGGAAGACAATGTATTAGTTAGCAGATTCGTGCTTAAAATCGTCAATCGCAGTTTTTAAGCAAAAAACATGCTCAATATAAGCTTTTTGTTTGTTAGACAAAATTCCAGCATCAACCAGCCAAGGTAGTATTCTCACACACTCTCTCACACACACACACACTCACACTCACTCACACACACACACACACACTCACACTCACTCACACACACACACACTCACAAGCCCTTGCAATATGCGTATGGCGCGCTACATTGGCGACTTTGATCATCTCAATATATCCCGCAGCCCTGTTAGCTCTGCATTCAACAGCACTCGTCTCTGACACACTGAATGCAGATATCTGACAGCTACAGCTCACTAAACCCGCGCTTGGCCTGTACTGGGATCAGTGGAGTATAGTGATGTGTGTGTGAGGTTTGAGGTTTGTTTGTGAGCACTGGGAAACACGCTTGCATTGACTGACCTCTCACACTGGTTTGAAAGAGCATTACAATTTAGTGAGTGTTTAGAATGGAATGCAAGCGCACTGCATACTGAATGATATAATATAAAGATAGCATGTTAAACAATATGCAGTATGTAATGACAAATATTTAAAATAGTAGAATGCTCAATTATACACACATGACCTTAGTACAGTGATTTAGTTAACATCTTGGAAATAAAGCAGTTGTTTAGTGTTTTAGTCTGCTTTTGTGTAAAATCATCCTGACTGACCGTTTTCTCTCTGATCAAATGAGTCAAGACGGAAAATGCATGCAGTATGGCTTCCGGAGCACGTGTTCACAGAAAAGGAAGGTCAGCTTGAGTGCAGTGTATTGTTGTAAACGCAAGGTTCCCAGCACAGTCGCTGAAAACCTAGAAATGACACAGAAACTGTGATATCCAATCCAAATAGTCCTTGAGATTAAAATATCCTACTTTTGATCTGCTCTGAAATATTTCATTGGCTAAACATTGATGAAAACATCCATTTGTTGGTTAGTTGCTCATTCTGACCGACCGAATTTTTTAATAATCACTGTGAAGCTGTATTGTATAAAGCTCTGTAGAAATAAAGGTGACATGACTTGACTAAATGTTAACTGACTGTAATAAGATCACTTATGTGACTCATTGGGTGGCAAATGGTAATAACCAAGAAGCTTCTCAAAAGATCAAATCAGCCAGTGAATGGCATTCACGTCTTTTATTTATTTTTTTGTCGTGTTGGAAAAACTTGCACACATACAGAAGTGAAATTCCCTTAGCCATATTCAAATCACTGTAACACACAGCCTTGTGTGGCCTATTGCTTTTGTAAAACAGCAATGTGATAAAAGACACGTTCAGTAAATATCTGTTATAATGCTAGTTAGGTGTTGCAGGTAGTCATGCATGCATAAAATTGGTCAAATGTGTATAGTATGCATACTGCATACTTACTTTAAATTTGCTTCTGTTGCTGCCCTCTCACTGATTTGTTAAACACCATAGTGTTGCTATGAAGCTTTCATGTTGTGGTATTTTCCAGTCAGCTGTGAACAGATTTGCTGTGATCAGTGAAGCTTAACGTGGAGCAGGTGGCAGCTTTATGAGATGAATGTATTTGACGTCCTGCCTGTTCCTAAACATAGGCCAGACAATCATTCATACAATCAGTAAGCTTTATATTTTTCAGGGTGTGAAGTTAGATAAGCTATGTAAGTTTTCAGGGTGTGATTTGCACCAAATGTATGTAACACACTGTTATGCCACGAATATAGACTGTTGTTTAGAATTTCATTATCCAAGTGTCATTATAAATATTAAAATAAGTTGAAGTTATAGTTAGTGTGGGAGAAGAATAGTGTTTGGGACGAATTTATACTCAAATTAAAGAGGTGATGTTGTGGTTTATTTGTATGTGCTGTCTGTGCTATTTTAGTGGCAAATTTGCTGAAGGAATTGACCTATTGGTAAGCCCCTCCCCTCAAACGCAGATGAGCCAATGGCAGTCGAGTATCAGTTGCGCGGGCATCGGTTTAATGGTGTTTATGCTACAAAAATGGAAAGACGATGTGCCTAGGATACGTGTAACACTGATTCCAGTTATCCTGAGAGGATGGGCAATATAATTTATTTTATTCCATTTCCTAAATCCAACCAAAACAGAGTCAAATGTCCCTAAGCATTCAACCCCAATCACAATGAAGACAAAAACGTTCATTTTCTGGTTGTCATACTCTCATTAAGTTACACTTTTCATCTGCTCAAGCAGAACGTTAATGTCATCTTGTGCTTCAAGCAAGGTATCTCTGGCTATAACTAGCTAACGGTCAAGTTAGTGAGTCCATGCTAACGTACAAACCTAAATAGCGAACTGTTCTCACGTCATGTACCGTGCAGTGAAAGTCAAAAACACATAAACGAAGGTCTATATTAGAGTGCCTCTCCATGTTAATCTGGTTAAATGTAAATTAATTGAATCTTACTCTGCAGTATATGAACAGTGTTGATTCGGGATGTTGTCATTGCGATCGTGACGACCGTAACATAATTCTCCCGTTTGCATTGAGATCTGTATTTTTACATATTTATTTTAATATCTCTCCATGGCATATTTAAGTCCCACTTGAAGGTCCATCTGTGTCCCAAATTGATCAGAAACACCTCGGAAGAAGGTTTTCACTGACAGCTGTCATTGTAAGACAGTGAGCAACTCCGTTTGTTTGTCCGAGTGAGCAACGGTAACTAAGGGGGGCGGGGCTTATCGATAGGTCAATTGAGCGAAATTTCTACAAAGTAACACACAAACACAAAATGAGTGCTTGCACAGCACAAGACTACACAGACTAGTGTACTCTATCACTCAAGCTCTGCAGTATCAGCCAGCGTGTTAAAATGCTGAAAGTTCACTCGACTACACGCCACATCTGGATATATACCCAGTCATAATGCTCCTCTCTGTCTTATAACATCTTTCTTAAACAGAATTCTGCTCACCGCTAGTGATGAGCTCTTCGTGATAAGATCCAGGAGTTTGCACTTTTGCATCGTTGATGTGTTGATGTATTGAATTATTGTTGCGAATCATGTAAAGCAACAAAAGGCAAGATTGACTTCATCATTTAGAATGGATTGAAAATGATGCACAAATCAGTGATGTTTCACGCAAGTGATGTTTTCTAGCAGAAGTGTGTTTATGAATCCCTCACTGTCATGCATTCACATTATACAGAAAACATTTTATGAAAGTTTTTTTAGTTAAACATTATTATTATTATTATTTATTTTTTACTGACACAAAAATGACTAAACATTGATATCAATCACATTTATGGTGAGGCGATGCAGCTGCTGGCAAACAATCAGAAGAGTTCTATACAGTTAAGAAAGAGGCCACAGGATGTTGTGAAAGGGGTCTTCCTGTCTCACACAGACTTAACCTGTGCCATGCTAACCCAGAAAGAGAGAGACTGTATTGAAACAGACAACTCTGTGTGACATAAACAACTTATATTGATAACAACAAGACATATTCTTGATCACATACGTGACCCTGGAGCACAAAACCAGTCATAAGGGTCAATTTTTTGAAATTGAGATTTATACACCATCTCAAAGCTGAATAAATAAGTATTCCATTGATGTATGGTTTGTTAGGATGGGACAATATTTGGCTGAGATACAACTATTTGAAAATCTGGAATCTGAGGGTGCAAAAAAATCTGAAGTTCTTAGCAATGCATATTACTAATCAAAAATTAAGTTTTGATATATTTACGGTAGGAAATTTACAAAATATCTTTACGGAACATGATCTTTACTTAATATCCTAATGATTTTTGGCATAAAAGAAAAATCAATAATTTTGACCCATACAATGTATTGTTGGCTATTGCTACAAATATACCCCAGCGACTAAAGACTGCTTTTGTGCTGCAGGGTCACATATTATATTGTTATTCAAACTTTAGTTGCTCGGAATCTATACAGTAAAAGATGTTATAAAGAACCGGTACTCTTTAAAACGGTGTTTCTGTATCAGTTGTAACAGAATCTCATTGTCGAGGCGTGTAAATGATGATGCTGGAAGAGTGCACGAAAATAATGTCTTGTTATCGTGCAGTGAGCTGAAGAGAGAAGGCTCCAGAGCAAACGGAGAGGCGCTCGGGAGGACGAGATCCCGCATGACCGAGAGACTTGCTGAAGACATGGACAGCTCGATGGAGATCGCCGAGGAGGATGATGAAGACTACGTCAGTTCACTTACTTTTACTCTTCATCTTTTGTTTTCAGGTTTCTCGGGCTGGTTTTATGTAACAGTGACGCGTGGGTAGGAAAGAAAGAGGTCATTGTGGCGAGATACAATTTTAACAGTCCCTAAAATCGAACGGCATTATTTTCTGGCTGCAGCCTCAAAAGACTTTGCTATGTAGCATATAGAGAACATCGTAATGATACACATGTAAACCAGTAAACATCTGCCTTTTTAAACACTATTACCTGTGGTACCTGTACACAATACTGGTCAGTGTTGATAACGAAGAGTAAACAAGGTTTTTTGTTTTTTTTTCATTTCAAACAGTGAAACATTCTTCATCAGGTTTCAGAAGAATTAAAAAAATCTCTTTCTTCTGCATAATTAATCTTTGCCTTGTTAAAAACAATATCTAAACAGCCTTAAAATGAGATTTGCTCGTGAAGCTAAAGGTGTTGCATTACACGAGGGCATGTGTTTGCTTCCTGACAGATCACACACAAACTGATCTCATACAGTAGATCTCATATGAAAAGATGTCAGGATGATACAGTGATCTGTATGTTTCTGTTCTGGAAGCCACTGCAGATTTCACATTAGATTCCTGTTTGAGTGTGTGTGTGTGTGTGTGTGTGTGTGTGTGTTTGTGTGTGTGTAACAGGAAGAGAAAGAAAGCAGGCGGCCAGCACGAGGGGCGACGAGAGGCCGCAGGAAACGCAGAGGAGATGCAGCGCTGCTCAGATACAGTGAGACACACACACACACACTCACAGATGGCTGTGACACCTATATGACACTCTATGACACCTGCGATTGTTTCCCATGATGCAGCGGTTCCGTATGGAGGCAAGAAGAAGGCGTGGTGTTGGGCCTCATACCTGGAGCAGGAGAGAGCCATCGCTGCCCCTAGTAAACTTTTCAAGGAGGTGAGACAACACACGCTAATGTTCAGTGTCACTATTATGAAAGAACACTACCTTTGATTCCACTTTGATACATACATGAATATCTAGTGATGCACCAGTATAGAGTTTTTGTTGATATGGATTATATTTTTGAGGGCTGTCAAGCGATTTAATCTACTTAATTATGCGATGCGACGATTAATTAATCTAATTAATCGCGTATAAAATTTAGCTGAGAAATTACCCCCAAAAGATAATTTGAAGTCATTATTGTGTTACATGAGAAAAGCATGAAGTAGACATTACAAAACGTAGGTCTAGCTTTAGAAATAAATATTTCATTTGATTCAACAGAATTTTTTACCCATAAACTTTTAAGCTACAACGGCCATGATTTTTTTTTTCTTAAGCTGCATCTGAATTGGTATTTGGAAATATTTACAGCCCATTTATTGCAGCTCCAACACAGTTTGGTTACCAACACTTTTAAAAATATTGTCTTTTATGTTCTGCAAAAGAAAGAAAGTCATATAGGTTTGAAATGACACAGGCGTGAGTAAATTTTTGGGTGAACTTTTTTTTTTTTTGTAATTGATATGGAAATACGAATTTTTTTAAACAAAATGATACTTTAAATAAGAAACGTAAACTGCCAGTGGGTGGCGGTTGGGTCTTGATTAATGAGTAAGTCATTGAGTCATTCATTCATTTGATTCGTTTAAAACGGCTGATTCATTCAGGAATGAAGTAAACAGCTCTCTTTATGAATGGACCATTGAATCTTTATTCACCTGATTCATTCAAAACATGGATTCATTCAGAAACGAATCACCTCTGTTTGTTGCTTGGAGATGCACAACAGTTTTGCTGTGGCTTTATAGGTAATATTTTTGTTGGCAAAATTGAGCAAGAACAGACAATATTGTGTCTAAAATATAACACAATATTATTTATTGAACTGTTGTATGAAATCAGGAGAGGTGGCGGTAAATGTCTTTATGAGTCGATTCGTTCAAACGGCTGATTCATTCAGGAATGAAGTAAACAGCTCTCTTTATGAATGGACCATTGAATCTTTATTCACCTGATTCATTCAAAACATGGATTCATTCAGAAACGAATCACCTCTGTTTGTTGCTTGGAGATGCACAACAGTTTTGCTGTGGCTTTATAGGTAATATTTTTGTTGGCAAAATTGAGCAAGAACAGACAATATTGTGTCTAAAATATAACACAATATTATTTATTGAACTGTTGTATGAAATCAGTATCACATTTGAACTTGTCCTATTAAGGACAAAAACATATGATATTGCTCTCGTTGCTTGCATGATATTACTTAACTATATCATATTATATGAATATGAGACAAAATCTCATGCAGGAGCATTTTTGCCCCAATCTCTAGAATTGTAGAGCATTTAACTGCATTCTATAGGCTCCATCACTGCATCATGTTCATCACCAATCAACGGTGGTCACAATCTTCACTGCATTTCCTGCTGCTACTGCAGCCTTTCAGAAAAAAAGAGCCTTTTTGCATGCTGCAGATTGGAAACAGTCTGTCAATTGTGCCGTGACCTTCTCCTGGGCACTTCAGTGCTTAAAACAAAAAAAGCAATTTCCCTGAAATAGTGGCACACTAGATCTACATTTAGGGACCGTATTAATGTATTTTGTTCCCTTCAATTTATTCCTTACATTTTCTGTATTTGGTCTTAAAAAGTCTTAAGAAAACCCTGCAGAAACAATGTAATAAATGTGCAAAGTTATCACAGTTTTGTCACTATGGGGTATGAAGTGTATCATTTTAGCATAAGGTTGTGACATAAAATGTAAAAAAATGAAGGGGTCTGAATATTTTCTGAATACACTGTAAGAATTATCAGCCATCTGTATTAGTGAACATTTGTTTGCTGGTGCATCTCGAGCTTTATAAGGAGTGTATAACTGGACTCTCTCTCTCTCTGTGTGTGTGTGTGCAGTATCAGTCGTTTCCGCAGTGTAAGAGTGGCTTTAGGGTTGGCATGAGACTGGAGGGTATCGACCCTGAACACCCATCCATGTACTGTGTCCTCACAATCGCTGAGGTAACAACCAAAACTGAAGTACTGTCTAAATAGTCTGTAAAAGTTGTAACATGCTATTTTAAAGTCATGTTACTTTCAACCTTGTGGCTGTATTGTGCATATTTGCAGGTGTTAGGGCATCGAATCAGACTGCATTTTGATAAGTATTCAGACTGCTATGACTTCTGGGTAAATTCCAGCTCTCCTGACATTCACCCAGTGGGATGGTGTGAAAAAACCGGACACAAGTTGCATCCACCGAAAGGCAAGAGACACCAACGATTCAAAGAACACCCACAATTCAGTTCAAGCGTTCAATGGCCAAATTCTAGTTGAGATGAATTGGTTCTGTTTTGCATGTAAAATTCTACATATTTTTTCACTTAGATGACGAAAGTGTAGCAGTATGTACTCTTGTTCCTCACATGGCTTGTGTGTTTTTTTGTGTTTCTGTAGGGATGAAGGATGAAGAGTTTAGCTGGTCCTCTTACATCAAACTAAATAAAATACAGACGGCACCCAAAGCGCTCTTTCAGAACCAGAACATGGTGAGAGCATCACATGACTCCAGATGAAGCCACATGAAATGTGTCCCATCTTCCCCTAGATGGCAGTGTTTCACTTCATGTAATAAAGCACTTAAACTAGTTAAAATCAAAGACATCCACAGCACATTTAACCTACATTAAACACTTCACTTATATGTGACCCTGGACCACAAAACCAGTCTCAAGTGTCAATTTTTCCTACAAATATACCCCAGAGACTTAAGACTTCTTTTGTGCTCCAGCGTCACATATTATTTAACAGTAACAGGACATAGATACAAGTGAAACAGAATATTTAGTTAAAACTTAACTTGATTTTAGCATCAGGATTTTATTGCATCATGAAATGCTAAGATATCATTGGTTAATACAATAATTTAGGTTGCAAGTTATTAAAATTGAATGGATAAGCTGTGTTTTTCAGACCGTGACGCCGTCAGGGTTTAGGGTTGGTATGAAGCTGGAGGCCATCGATAAGAAGAATCCCTCGTTCATCTGTGTCGCCACGATTACAGACATGGTGGATAGTCGATTCCTGGTGCACTTTGACAACTGGGATGAAAGTTATGACTACTGGTAAATTCACATCTTTGAATTCATGTCTTTATGCTTTGATCCTGCTGTGCCTTTCCCTGAAAGGGAACAATATTTTTTATCTTTGGAAAGGATCATATTTTAAGACTTTCTATAGATTTCTATCAATACAAAAACTTAAGATGGTAATTGCTTATGCATTTACATGACCACATAGATGTCGTTTAAGGCTGATTGTTGAAGCATTACTCCTAAACCAGTATGTGTCGTTACAGCAAAGTACTAAAAGTGATTTTTTTTTTACTCAGTAAGTCTAATTCTTACTCTGTAATTGAAATTCTGGTAGTATCACTCAGTTTTAGTTATTCTCTTAATTTGACCACAATCACACATAGTTATAAACATATTAATAACCCAAGACATTGTTCATCTTTTGTGCCAAACCTGACACTTTCCAAAATGTTAAAACCCCAAGTATGAATATATCTAAATATTTTTAATATTTATTACTTCTTGTTTTTAAAAAAAAACTTTAAAAAGAAAACTAATAATAGAGTTATCACTTTTGAACCAATATGAGTGTGAACATATACATATACATGAACAATACAATACTGAAAAAGTATAGAAAAACTAACATCTGTTGAAGCAATGTGGTCCAAAAACAAAATGAAATCATCATATTTTAATTTCAATCAAAGCATCATTTGGGTAGAGTTAGATTTTTTTTTTATTCTGTGTAACTCCTGCTCATACAAATTGGCTGAAATGCTGATGAAATTGATGAAACTGAACAGGCTTAAATCTGTCAAATGACAAAGTTGAGTATCTTGTTAATTATATCAGTCGTAATAAGTCATGAAGACACAAATGTGGCAAATTCTCATTCTTATGAGTGACCCAGTTATCATTCTGTGCTCATCATCCATTCTCTGCTGAGTGTGTGTGTGTGTCGTGTGTGTGTGTGTGTGTGTGTGTGTGTGGAGAGCAGGCAGAATGCTTTTAACTGCTCATCAATTACTCAGGAGGAGAAGGATGAGTACACATACACACACACACACACACACCCACACACAGAGACAGTGTCTTCAGCTCAAATCACACAATCACATCTGACAACTCTGTGCATTGAACAACAGCGCCTCCTGAACATCTCATCACCACATTTGTTCACTTTATTCAAACAAATAGTTTCAGGAGTTCAGAAGAATTGGTCCCTGTTTCAGTACATAATTCTGTTTTAGTCATCTTATCATCAGAAACGCATCAGATGTTGTGGGTTACGAGCAATCTGGGGCTGGTCAGCTTTACTCCAGCACTGCTGAAATGATTGTTGGATCACTCATTCTCAACTAGTTTTGCTTCAGGGCCGAGTAGAGACCCAACACAGCTCCACAAATGTTTATCCTACTAAAACAATGAAAATGTCCTTAAAATCCAATATTGAAATGTATTAAAATTGCCTGCGGAAACATAACAAAATACAACATTTTTGAGAGTTTGATTGAATTTTGATGCTTTCATGCTTTTGGGAGACAATAAACCACAGGAAAAGAAGTAATTATGATGCGTACAATTAACATAGACAGTCAAACGACGAAAGATAAATTTCGCTTCCCTTTTAAAAGTTGATGAGTTTTTGTTTGTGTCTTACCTGCACATGATTATTTGGTTCTGATTTATCAGAATAGTTTTTCCCTTCTGTCTGTGACTGTCAGATGTGTGCACCATTTTTTGGATTGTCACCGACTAGCGCAGATGGATTGCAAAACCGTGTTAATTTGTGTGTATTTCATTGTATTTTAATGCATGCATTGTCTGTCCCAGACAAGATAAGAAATACTTATATAAAAAAATACTTTTTTTTTTTTCAAAATGTAATTTTAAAGAGCTAAATTTTAAGGGGGGAAATGGATTCAGGGTTTTTGAAACATTGCATGAAATGCATGAAATAGATTATTTTGCCAGTTGCATTAAATTTGTTGATACCAGCATGGCGCCGCAAATGGCAGCAAGGACGCTGAGCTCCGCGATTCTTCTATTGTTTTTGTTTGTTTGTTCTGTGTTTTGTCACTCTTCTTCTATAAGTTTTACCAGAGACGAACTCCTTAACATTAAGCAGCACATCCCAGACAACATTTTTCCGGTTTTTGATTATTCGGACGTTTTGTTGGACATTCTAGTCGGAGGTACAGCGGTGTTGTTCAAACGCGCGTGCAGACGCAGAAGAGGGAAACGCGCCGGCGCCCTGGTGAAGCTCCGCGCGCGCGGCTTTCGGACTGCGCTCCCAAGCATTCATCTTGCGAATGTCCGTTCCCTTCCTAACAAAACGGATGAACTTCTTCTCCTCACCCGCACCAACAAGGACTTTTCAAACTCTGCTGCACTGTGCTTCACTGAAACCTGGCTGAGTGAAGCCATTCCGGACAACGCGCTTCATCTGCCAGGCTACCAGCTGTTCAGAGCGGATCGCATCGCGGAGTTAACGGGGAAAACCAGAGAAGGTGGATTGTGTTTCTACATCAACGAACGTTGGTGTTCAGATGTAACAACGCTGAAAAAGGTATGCTGTCCTAATTTAGAGGCACTCATCATAAACTGTAAACCTTTCTACTCGCCGCGGGAGTTTTCCTCTTTCATTCTCGTGAATGTGTACGTGCCTCCGGACGCGTGCGTGAGCGCCGCGATGCAACAGCTGGCCGAACAAATAACTGAAATGGAGCAAAGGTACCCAGACTCTATTTTAATCATTCTTGGAGATTTTAACAAATCAAATCTCTCCCGTGAACTGCCAAAATACAAGCAGCACATTACGTGTCCCACCAGAGACAGCAATATATTGGATCACTGTTACACAGCAATAAAGGATGCATATCACTCTGTCCCACGAGCAGCTTTGGGGCTCTCTGATCACTGTTTGGCTCATCTAATACCGACCTACAGGCAGAAACTGAAATCAGCTAAACCTGTATTAAGGACTGTAAAAAGATGGACTAATGAAGCAGAGCAGGATTTACAAGCTTGTTTTGACCTCACTGATTGGAGCATCTTTGAAGCTGCAGCCACCGATCTGGACGAGCTCACAGAGACTGTAACTTCATATATCAGTTTCTGTGAAGATATGTGCATTCCTACCAGGACATTCTTATCATTTAATAATGATAAACCGTGGTTTACTGGGAAACTCAAACAGCTTCGTCACGCCAAAGAGGATGCTTACAGAAGTGGGGAGTGTGTAAACATACTTGGTAATAAAGAAATAGATTATTTTGCCAGTTGCATTAAATTGCATTTGTGTATTTCTTCTTTTCCGTAGGTGTGATGCAACGAGTCCTTATATCCATCCAGTTAGCTGGAGTCAAGAGAACGGCAGGACCCTCACCACCCCTCCAGGTGATGCAACACGTCAACACAAATATAATTTTTTGAAAAATGTACAAAAAAAAAACAGATTTTCAAAACACTATTATGCAGTTGCCTGCTTTAGAAGTAGCCTATTCCTATGTTAGAAAGAGCTTGTGAAAGGAAGAAGGAAAGTTCAGGTCTATGTGTTGTATTTTTGAAGCTCATTAATTGCGGATCTCCGATAATATGCAGTAAGATGTTAGGTTTTTGTGCTGGTTTAGATCTTAGCATGTGAAAGCCATCATTCCAGCTGAAATGCAGACTAGCTTCAAAGCGTCTTCAGAGGGACTTCAGTATGAGGACGTGGTCTAGAGCAGTGGTTCTCAACCTTTTTTGAGTACTGGACCCCCATAATATCTCAAACCAACCTCATGGACCCCCATTGATATTGACGTGTTTTTTTTATTTTTTATTTAGCGATATATTGCCCTAGAAATAATTTCGAGAAACAATATTATTGTCATTTTATGACCATTTTATGCCACTGACTATACAGTGATGTTTCAGTATCAGCGCTGGGCTGTCAGGCATCAGGTGGCGACAACTGATGGCAAACTGATTTTTTTCATGATTATAGGAGTTGACCTGAAGAAAGACAGACCCAGGTATTCACACACCCTTAGTTCTGCTGAAGCTGTCACCTGTCTCTCTCTCAATTAAATTTAATTCAATTTGTGTTTTATTGGCATGACAATTGTTACAATGTATTGCCAAAGCATAGTGTTTACATTGAATCTAGAACAGATATATAAAAAAAACATGCATGTATATATCAGTTCATGGTTATAATAATTTTTGTAATGATTCTACGGACCCCCTGCAATTATGTGATGGACCACTAGGGGTACGCATACCCCCGGTTGAGAAACACTGGTCTAGAGGATGACGTGTGTTTATGCTGACCTGACTTCAGACTTCTGCTGGGGATTCAGATGTATATTAGTAACTCTGCACCAGGAAAATCACAAGGACATATTGCTCTTTGTTATATTGCAGCCATTTAATGTCGTGGAAAAGTTCATTTATTTCAGTAATTCAACTCAAATTGTGAAACTCGA